GCCGCAGTAGCTGACGAAACGTCTGGACACAATAGTTCACTTAGACCAAGGCCCTGTAGCCCGAATCTTCATTCTACTATGGATTCCGGCCGTGAAAGCCTTTGTTCTTATAATGCTTCATTTGTGTTGAAATTTCTCAAAAACATGACCATGGCCAATAAGCAGACATAGGTAATCGTAGATATTTTGGATAAAAATGTTCTATTCTAATTTATTATGCTGTAATTTAGTGGTTTTTACTTCAGGATAATAATAATACAGAGAAATAAAGTAAAAATTGGAGACTGTGGTAAATGACTGATTAAACTGAAAAGAGACTCCCCCAAATTACCATTATGAATTGATTATTGTGGACACGATGTTTCACCTAGTTCTTAATATGCGCTTTATCACCAACCAGTCTCGCGTTGATAATGTCCACGCTAAGAAGTATCCATAATAATCAATTTATAGTGATAATTTCGTCTCGTTTTAGTTTGATAATATACGATAGAAAAAAAATAACTCAATAACTATTTCAATTCAAAGTATTTTTAACTCAAACACAAAAGATTATCTGTATAATAATACCAGTGGATTAACAGCATGATTTTTTGGCAAAAAGAGCTGGGGGTACATGTATTTGAGTTCTTATTGTAATATATTTATGATCGGTATTTTTAAAATGCTCTCTATAATGCCCCAATAAACTGAAAGAAATCCACAAAGAATAAATAACAAGGATAATTAAAATTGATATTCTCTCAAGATTTATTGAATTCTTTGGAAAAGTGGATATATTTCGAATTGTTTAATTAATGGGTATTTTCTATAATTAGAAGAAAAGCTCCTTGGCTTTAATTTACTTTATACTTACTTTGTTGCAATCATTAGCAAAACGAAGAAAATGTTGAAATTGAAGAGAGGAAAAACTTGTTTGTCGGGCTTTCGTAGCTTATCATTAACAAATACCTACGTAGACGACAAAGCATTTGATAAGTTCCAAGCAAATACTTAGTTTAGTTAGGGTGTATTGTGTACAAGGCAGAAGAATGTAAATACGTAACTTTGCACCTAATTAAAAGATCTCATTGTAAATAATGGGAATGTTAACTCCTTGAAACGCTATTACAAAAAAAAAACAGGAAGGAATGCAGAGAGCGACCTCGTTGAAATGAAAAATCAGACGCGAAAGCTTTCAAGTTCGTAGTCCTTGAACGTACAGTTTGTGTAAACTGTGTATTAATGAAACATTTCGAAGCGGGGAAATCTTCAATAAATGAAATAATTTGTTACTGCCAATTACGTAAAACACAGTGACCTAAAACTTGCCAAGATAAACAAAATTGCGTTTTAGTTGTCCAGGACGAGATAAAGCTTTTTTTTTATACATAGAAGGGATACCGTTGCATACCAATGATTACGTCATAACATAGTGCAATCTGCTTACACGGGAATTTTTTTTTAACAAATTTAACTTTCAGAAAATATCCCATTTTAAAATACAATGAAAACTCTATGTAAAGGGCTGTCTATGAATTCAAAATTCATCAATTTTTAGCCCCTTCTCCCACATAATGGGACCGTAACGCATGACCCTCTTCCTCAACACTCCGTTACGTAACACGTATAAAAATTTTAGGCTTCAATTAAAAAAACGTTTTTGAATTTATTCATTAATAATTCAATTAAACATAAATAAGTAATGTAAACATTAGCCCCCCTACGCCCTCCACGTAATAACGCTATAGTGCCCCTAATTAGCGTTTCGTTTCAAGAAGCTGAACATAATCAGAATTTTGCAAATGAAATTTAATGCTTGACACTGAAACTAAGTTATGATGATGGCTCGATACTAAAACGTCTCTCAAGTGATGAATCGGTGTCAGTTTCTTCCTTTTTTCATTTGTTTAATAACTCGAAACTCTGCAGTTGCGCATTATATAAAGATAAATAGATAAAAGAAAATGTTTTGTGTATAGTGCACTATCCAATCAGAGAAAAGGACTTTGCAATTTTTTTATGAATAGCAGGTTATTGCAACCATTGAGTTTTTGTTTCGTGTTTCGAAAACAATAAATTGCTTCTCTTGAAATCCAGTTCAAGTTTGTTCTCGTCCAATTATTCTTGCTGACGTCTAGTAATAATATCTTCTCTATTCTCTCCCTTTTAGGAACAAAATCAGTATTCGAAAATGATCCCACCATTATATCGTACTAGATAACAAATGCAGCTGCATTTCTCTTTTACTTTGCAACAAAAAGCTACCTCTATAATGAATGTGATTTGAATAATTTTATTAAACCGAAAAAATTACGGTTATAATAACTATTTAAGTTGCTTATTATCTGTAAAATTCTGCAATTACGTTTTCATTAGGTGTCTGAATGACATTTTAATTAATAATTTTCTTTTCCTAAAATGTTCTAAGTTCTAAAGGAATTGAAATTTTACATTCCAATATAATTTGGCACTTTCGCCAGTTCGTTTGGCAGTTTTCAACTTCGTTAATCGTGAAAGTAATCAAAACTGTGGTCCTTTGTAATTTGAAACTTTTAATTACTGACTTGAACCTTGTCCCTTTGTAGCCTTACTTTGTTGCTTATGAATCATTAAATGCTTTTGAAATAATCGCTGCTTAACGAATAAGGTATCTACACGTCGGAATTTTTAGATGTCCCAATTTCAAAATTCAAAAAATGCAGCTTTAGGCCTTTTTAAGAGGATTACTATGTGACATAAAAGGACAAAACAACCATAATTCTTCAAACATACCATCAAGATTTTCAAATAATTTAACATCAAAATCCGAATATTGCAAATTCGGCTTGCTTTGATTTGAAGTTAAAGCCTTTTAATATTTTAGAGAAATTCTATAGTCAATTCAGCTTCGAAAAATACAGAGCGATAAAATAAATCAAAATGACCGATTTCGTGGATTGATAGAATGTGTAAAGAAGTAGAAGAAAAGTTTGAAGTAGGTAAAACCGATGAGGCTTATAGTATAATTAAAAGGAATTTTAGAGAAGTAGGGTACAGCAGTAAAAATATAAGAAACGAGGTATGGGTCATTTTGATAGAAAATGCGGAAAGGGCAGATAGGTGGAAAGAATATTTAGAGAACCTATATGTAGGCCATGAGTTACAAAATATATTAGAGAAGGAAGAAGGAAGAAGAAGTGTGGAGATAGGTGCTCTAGGTTATCCCATAATGAGAGAAGAGTTCGATGTAACATTAAAAAAATAATAAGGCGCCAGGTGTAGATGGGATACAGGGGGAAATTCTAAAATATGCAGGATAAGAGGTTAGAGATCGTATGTTTCAGATAGTTAGTCACATTTACGAGACGTGGTAGTAACCATACCTAAAAAAAGAGGCGCGGATAGGTGCGAGATATTTAGAACAATTAGCTTAATTTCCCATGCGTCAAAAATCTTAACTAGAATTGTACAGAGGAGGATGGAAAAAAGGGCGTATTTGTCGTGAAAGATTTTTCGAAAGCAGAAACAATTCCATACGCAATTCGTCCCTGATTAACGATAACTGTTATTTTCCTTTGTTAGGTATACTTACTGCTAATATTGGCGAATGCTTGTAAGAATTACCAATAAAATTTAATTAGTTATTTCATCAATATAGTTCGAGTAATTCAGTAAGAAGTTGGTATGATTAAGCGCCTCTTTTATTACTGGCAGTAAACTTCTCATGATGCAAGTCAAAATACGTAAAAAATTAAGTTTATTACTTCGCAACGTAAGATCTCTTGTGTATTTTTTATGCTCTTTTGCCTTATTTTGGCTTTTGCTGAGCTACGTAATTATAATATGCTAATGTCACACAACCCTAAATATGCACCATTTCTGACCATTATTTTTCAGTATCTTCTAACTTTTCACCTGTTTTATTTTTGTCATCCAATTTTTTTCCATTTACTTATTACTAGTACGTATTTCCGTTCATCTTTTGCTGAGTTTAATATTGAATGACATTGATAATATGATATTAGACACCTTATTTACATATATGCTTGATGCATGAGCAATTTTTTCATAAAGGGTAAACTGTTTTGTTAGGCAAGTTCTACGTGAGCTTACTGTAAAGTTGGGGAAAAATGGAAAACTGCATGCTTGTGAAGTAAATAATAAGTTTTACGTAAAAAGGAAATCAATAAGTGAAACGAAGAGCCGTTTTTTTATTTAGAATAGAATTACAAGCAAAATGAGTAATGTGTGGGTGTGTGTGAGACAGAGAAAGAGAGAGATAACGTGTGATTTTGTGAAAAATGCAATTCAAATCGAATTATTCGTGTATGTTTGTTACCTGCCTAATGCAAACAACGTTTTATCATAGTGCGTTTTAGAAAATACTACAAATGGCGCAGTAAACGCGATCTGTGGCACGATGCTACATTTTAAGATTACGTATGCTCCAACAAGGTCCACTTGTGTGGATATCTACTTGCTGAAAACGAATCCCGGCATAGCCAACCTCAACGTGATAGGCACGTTAGCTTAATCGAATAAAATAATTNTTTAAATAAAGCATATTCTTAAATTTTAACGAGGCAGTTTAAATAATTTTGCAAATGCTACTGTACACTTTTGTCTAGTTCTCGTTCGATGATCAGTGGGCAAATGAGTTCCGCAGACAAATATGATTGAATTTGGAATTATGCTACGGCGCATCCTAATAAAGGGAAGGGGCATATATCTAACTTCTTGAAACGATCAGTACATAAATAGTCGAAACCAAAAGTCAAAAATCTTCACTGCAGTTTTCTTGCTATAAGATGACATATTATCCTAGTTCGTATTTCCTTTTAAATTAACGAATTCTGGAAATGTAAAGTATGCACATTCGAATACAGTTAAGTACCTGTTTTGTGTAAAATCCTCGCGATATCGTGAATAGCATCTTAGCGTTAACGTAGTAGACAATTATGGTAAAAAGAAAGACAACAAAGTTGGTTGATTTATTAGGTTCCGTTATAAAACAGCGTACACTGTTCCGGGCATCTTACCTAAAAATCCTGGAATGGCTCCCAGAGGCATCACAAAAAGACTGACAAGAAGATCGGCAATGGCGAGCGACAGTAGAAAGTAATTAGTAACATTCTGTAACCGTCTGTCCAAAAGTACGGCCAAACAAACCAGGATATTTCCCAGTCCTCCGGCAATAATGAACACCACGACAAACAGAAAGCTCCAATCGTATTGCTGCTGATGATTTTGAGAATTGTAGTAAAATTTCAACTGATTGGAAATATTTGCGTTCAGACCGGCGAGTATGTACCGAAATGCACCCTCGTCCGAAGATACACAACTCCAGTTGGTGTCGTTCACAAAATCCGAAACGTTAAATAGCGTGTCGCACTCAAAACTGTACCACACGGAAGCGTTCGCGAGACACTTGGTGCACGACAGGGCACTGTTGCTCAATTTGCTAACATCACAGTATAGACTCATAGTTGACGATGCACAACCGATGAAGAAATCGGTGGCGTTTTTTCCGAAGGAGCACTGGGTCGTGGTGCTGGGGATGGCGGCGATGTTGGTGAACATTATATCGGGAATGCTGTCCGAAACCCCGATCCGGGCACATGTCAGGAGATTGTCGTTTACCACAGAGTCAGAGTCCCGTGGTAACGACCAGTTCATTTTGCAAATTACTTCACATGTTACTGATGCACATTGCAAATTAAAAAACGCGATTTTCTCTCATGATTATTTTATATGCCTACACTGTAAAGCGAAAGAAATATTTCAATGACGTCTTAGAAATTTATCAAGACATCAAAAGGATCGCTTTTCGTGAAACAAGTTCTCATTTCCGGAAAAGCGGACCTTTCAATAGTTTGACCAAATTCTGAGGCTCAATGTAGTTTTTAATAAGCTGATGATGATGATACTGGCCGCGAAAGCCTTTACCAATTTGAATTTTTTTAATGATCCAAAATTGATAAAAATATAAACAAATGTTAAAACAATCAACTTTCAACCGCCATAACTTTTTATGGGGGTGAGACCGCCGCAAATTTTTTATGGGGTTTTACTCAGATGACCACCCTCTTTCGATCCCCCTACCCCCACCTCTTCGGGGCAATCATCTACCCCCCATAACTTTTTATGGGGGTGAGACCGCCACGAACTTTTTATAGTACAGTGATGGGGAGACCTCCTCTTTCGATTCCACCCACACCCACCCCCGAAGGGTTCCATCATCTAGACATCTACCTTTATTTATGGTAATTAGATTAAATAGCTGTTATGTTTGATTTTTTTCCTTTTATAATTTATAACATTGAATAAAACTGTCTCCTCCACTTTTATTGATGCTGCAAGTATAATAGTATTTAGCAACTTGTATCTCTTTTCAAATCATAGTCTCAGCAAGGACCACGGGTTTGTTAATCCTTTTATAGATAAATACATTTCTACTCCATATATATTCTCTTCCTAAAACATGATGATTATTTCGTTGTTATTGTTTTTTAAACATTTCACGCTGTCAGTATTGCACTTCGAGTACGTTTTTTATTAACATATGAAATGATAAAAGAGATCTTTGAATAAGTTTCCGTGTTTTATAAAGCGCTCAGATCTTTGCAGACAAACACGTACTAAAAAACGTTGACGCTTAAAACGATTTTATGAATAACCACTACGAACTTGTTAACTAGTTCAAAATTAACGAGCGTACGTATGTCATTAAAAACACATCCGACATTGGATGACATGTGTAGACTTTTATGTACGCTATACATTTGTCCATCTGATAAAATTGTTATAATTTAAATGGAATGCTAAATGCACCTAACTCTCTTTTTTTTCCGGTCCGATAAATTTAATTTTGGCTGAGTTACCTTATTAAACATTTAGGCATTTTTTGTAGTAACTACTTCACTGGCATAAATCGACCGAGTTATCGTCAACAGTGGAACGGTTTCATTTGAGTATATTAGCGAGTAAATATCATCCGATATTACTTATCAGAATTTTACTCATACGTCGGACCCCTTGCGTTGCACCGGTATCATCGAAACTCAACGATAATTTTATCTGATAGGTACTAAGAAAACCATTTAAAAATGTCATTTTTACTGCTGCACCGGTACCTGCTTCGATACGGACACCGTTAAAATGGATGGGTGTAAAGATGCTCTAAGTTCCACTTTGATGTTACGTTCTTATATCCTTGAAGAATGCGTAACAGAGTAAGAAGTTGGAAAGTTATAAATGAGTAGTAGACGCAGTCAACACTAGAATTGTGAGACTCAAATACTGGGTCTGTTTGAAAACTGATCCAGAACCGTTAAATCTGATGGTACAACAGACATCCTTTAGGGAAATTTAATAGCCATAAATTTTTAGACGTGCGTATAATCACAATTTCCTATTCATTTTGGTTTAATGCAATATGAAATGTTTGTTATTATAAATTGTTCATTTTAGTCTTGAATGGTATCAAGCCGAACTTGATAATTACCACTTTACGTTATAATAAAAAAACGAACTTCAAATTGTTTTGGAAAACTCACGGCCCTCATCTTGTTAATGGAATGTTTTAGCCTTATCATCAGTTAAAACCAATACAGGACACAATTGAAGCAAATTAATTACTTGAATTGTCCTCTTGATAAATATTAGGGGAAGAAATATATGTATAATACCAAAATCCATCCGTTTTATTAATCTTTGACTTAATAGTACCCTTACAATTAATGTTATTCCAGTATGTCTATGTTTTTATCCTTCTAATATGTAGGATTTGAAAAATAAATCATGTTTATCAAAAGACGATGAATTCATAGAGGCTGAAAGGCATTTAGTATTTCTTTCTTCGTTGCGGTGTAATAACGGTCGTAGAATGAATTCATCATTTTGTGCCACCCTTCCGGCGTTACATGAATATTAAGGTAACAGTCGGTTGGCTCACACTCTCGGTGGCTTCCCTTTTTACCTTCCCGTCGAAAAATCTGCAGCGAGGCTACGCCTATGAGGTAAACCTCGAAATTTCATTTTATTAAATTTCCTCGGCGTTGCTTACAAAAAAAATACAGCGACTTAATATGATAAACCTTAAGGATTCTCAGTGGTTTTCTTTTCAGCTAAATCGCACGTTTTCTTTTATTTCATCCCTTACTAAGTTTGAGAAAGAAAAGCAATTTATCTATACGTATCCGTATATAAAAGGCTTTGTCTTAACTGATTTGACACGTGTTCGACATCCGTGCCGAATTTAAGACAAAAGTGGGTAATTATCTCTCATTACAAATAAAAATAAAGTTAGCGATTTTATAAAATTAAAATAGTTCCGATGATAGACTACTTTAGCATGCAGTTCCCAGAGTTTGTAGTAATTCTTATTTAATAGAATCGACAATTTTAGTTCATCATCATGCGAAACATGGACAGTGGGAGCGGCGGAAAAGAAAAGGTTAGAAGCGCTCGAAATGTGATGTTATAGACGGATGATGAGGATATCGTGGGTAGACAAGGTTAGAAATGAAGAGGTATTGGAAAGAATAGGAGAACAGAGGACTCTATGGAAGACAATAAAAAATAGGCGAGATAGGTTGGTAGGACACCTTCTCAGGCATGAAGTTCTAGTCAGAGACATATTAGAGGCAGAAACAGGAGTGAGGAGGGGTAGAGGTAGACCTAGATTAGATTACTCTTCGCAAATAGTTAAGGATGTGGGCTGTTCTAGTTTTAGGGAAATGCGAAGTTTAGCTCAGGATAGGAAAGAGTGGAGGTACGTGTCCAACCAGTCTTAGGACTGATGACCTTATGATGAGTCTTCAGTCCTAGGACTAGTTGGGTATACACCTCTACTCTTTCCTATCCAGAACTAATTTTCGCATTTCCCTTAAAGTAGAACATCCCACTTCCTTAACAGTTTGTGAACTATCGAGGTCTATTTCTACTCCTCTTAACTCCTCTTCCGTCTATTTCTTATACAGTCCTCTGTTCTCCTATTCTTTCTTATACCTCTTCATTTCTAACCTTCTCTATCCACGGTATCCTCATCATTCGCCGGTAACACCACATTTCCAACACATCTAACCTTTTATTTTCCGCAGCGCTCACCGTCCATGTTTCACATCCGCCGCGCATCTTTCTAATTTCTAAATTAACCGCTGGCGAGCTTAGAAGTGACTTCTTTTTATTAAAGGCGACTCGACCCTGCGTTACAATTAATAATTTAATACATCTATTTTAAGCACTTGAATTCCTCAAATTTACTTCCAATAATGGTGACAATATTAGAAAATTTTCTGAATTTCTACATTAGAAATTTTATGTTCAATATTCTATTACCAGAACAATGGTTGCGGAAATCATCGAGACCGCGAATTACACCTAATGTAACCCAATCAAACCTAGTTGAACTTCTATATAATTGTTGATGAATTTAATGTTCTATCGAATTTTATGTTTAATTTAACTAATAGAATCGTTATCCGTAAATTGTAAAAGGATCATTAATGAACTAACAATAAGTTCTACATTTCATTGTCACGTTCTACAAAATACCGATGATATATTTACATTTAAACCAAAACCAACCGGGAAATTTAACATTCCGTGCAACTAAATTGCTTTTTTTTTCACGCGTGTTAACTCAATTTCTTGTTAATTGTGTTGTAATGAATGTTGTCGGTACATAATTTTTCGAAAATTAGAATAAGTGTATTTGGCAAATTAAATAATGCTCGACGTCTTTTAATGGAGTTAGATGCGTTAATGTAATGAAGCGAGCTGCTGGAGTCCTATGGGAATGCCCTTTGGGAGCATTAATTCGTGCAGTCATTTATCCCCAGGCAAAAGATCGGATTTTATCAGTGTTCCGAGAGCCAAAAAGTTAGATTACAAACGATAAGAGCCGCTCTAATGAAGCCACATCATAGCAGGCGTAAACATAAACTGACTCTACCTGGAGCTTTCGGATGTAGGTATAGTGATATTGAAAGTAATGAAACTTGTTAAGGATATGTAGTTTGAAATTTTCAAAAATTTGTAATTTCTTTAATTCACCGCACTAAAATAAATAGCACAATTTGATTTTACGTTTCAGTTTTAGCATAATATGTTTTTGCTTCGAACCCATAATTGACCCATAAAGTAATATAGAATTTAACCCGCAGAGGTTTTCGGAGATAATGCTTCATTTGAGAATGAATGAAGATTCGGGCTATAGGACCCTGGTCTAAGTGAAGTATTGTGTCCAGACGTTTCGTCAGCTACTGCGGCTGACATCCTCAGTGGTAGTGCTCAGTTGTCTCATATATAAGTACAGAATAGCTATAGGGGTATTAGATGGGGTGAGATGCCCCGGTACAGATTGTAGCGATTTTTCGTCAGTAATATAATGATTAAGATTTGTCAAGTTTAAGCCCTTAAAAATTAGGTGTATGATTGTATCAAAATTGTTTGTCCCAGTCGTTATCGAGACTTCGAGATATAATCTACGTTCACGTTGTCAACGCAGCAGTACCACTGAGGATGTCAGCCGCAGTAGCTGACGAAACGTCTGGACACAATAGTTCACTTAGACCAAGGCCCTGTAGCCCGAATCTTCATTCTACTATGGATTCCGGCCGTGAAAGCCTTTGTTCTTATAATGCTTCATTTGTGTTGAAATTTCTCAAAAACATGACCATGGCCAATAAGCAGACATAGGTAATCGTAGATATTTTGGATAAAAATGTTCTATTCTAATTTATTATGCTGTAATTTAG